CACAATTGATGCTGCTGCTGGTGGGGCATTAATGAGTAAGAATGCTATAGATGCCTATAATTTGTTGGAAAAGATGGCCTCAAATAATTATCAATGGCCTTTAGAAAGGTCAAGTTTAAGAAAAGCTATCGGAGGTTATGAAATTGATGCACTTGGCACCTTAAATGTTCAAGTAGCTGCGTTATCCAAGAAGCTTGATACATTGAGAGTTTATGAAATTCAAAAATTATTTGTAGTTTATGAGATGTGTGGATGTAACGACCTCTTCCCTCGATCGCTACTGGTGTTCGAGACTTGAGAGTGAACTCACCAAATCCCAAACAAGCCTTAATTAAATCTCCAAACAACTTAAGCTCAACTTAAAATATTAACACTATAAGTCATCCAAACCAAATATTCACAATATTTAAATCATAGCCATTTGATACAAACATCTAGGTTTGATAACTTCATACAACTCATCATAATATGTAGTCATTATTACATAACCTTAACCTCTAGCCATTTCACTTTCAGTGATTGTTGATTCTTATAAGCCAGACTATTTGACATACAAATCGACCTCTAGGCAGTGAAGCGACCAGGGGTAGAAGTCTAGAGATGCCATTACCTAGGTTGTAGCCAGCCTTGTGATGCTGAGCAAAACTCTAGAATTGATTACTTATCTACAAAAAAAAATATGAAGGGATGAGTCTCACAAACTCAGTGATCATCGACTCTGTGAGTAGGGCGTAGATGGGAAACAAGCTAAAGGCAGAAGATTTGAAAATTTTAAAAATATAAGAGTATATGTAAACAATTTACTCAAAAGGGAAATTTGTGCCTTATATGCAAATAAGTGAATTTATGCTAAATAATCATTTAATATAGGGTTTAAAGTAATTAAATGTTTTCATGCATGATCTCATAAAAATCCAACATTTCATAAAGTTTACATGTAAATTTCGTAATTCACCCCATACACAAGGAATTAAATTGAATTTCATCATATAAGCAAGGGAACAATAGAAAAACTAGTACTTTTCACCATGAGAAAATTACTTATGTCAATAAAACCCAAAGAGATACCACTCTCGAGTAGGTATAGAAATGCAAGCATGTGGACCCGCTTCCACGTAATAACATCCGGGAGCTCCACTCCACCAAATCCCCACATGCCATGGCAGTCTTAACAATGTTGGCCGACATCAGAGAAATCAGGCGGTCGCAACCGCATATAACAACTTGTGGCCTAGCCACATAAAATCATAGACCCTAGCCCCAGCCATGTCTAACAGCCCGTCGGCGACCCAAAGATTCTCTAGCTAGAGCTCACTTGTGCACAAGAGTCACACTTAACCGGAGTGACAACTGGCCCGCTCTCGAATCTCCCAGTTTAATAAAACCCTTTTAAAATATAGTTGGTCCTCAAAATTCATTTCAAAACTCATTGTCAAAATGTTCATGTAGTACATGATGAAATCCCTTGTAAGACTATAAAATATAACTTGTTACATGAGATTGAAAGATCATTTAGCATGGTGAGTATATGTTTCCATCATGAATGCATATTACACAAACCATAAAGCACATACTTGACCTAAATTATAAAGAAAAACTTGTTTTCCAATTTCAAGAACCTTTACATATATTTATATATGCATATAGCTTATATACTTTCAAAGCCATTTTCAAAATCACAACATTCACAATTCCCTAACATTTCTACCAACTCATGCTTTCCACAATTTTTCATTTCAATAAATCAACACCTATTTATATATATACATAATCATAGAAAATTTTAAAATGGATACTCCCTACTCACCTTACAATAGCAGGACACTACGTCGTTACTGATTCAAATACGTATCTAGCTAATTCTACTTGCCGATTTCTTGTTATTTCCTCCGGCACGCCGCCTCGACGATGTTAGTTACTATATTTTCCCTAACAACCATTCAAACCAAATACATTCAATTATACTCATAAATGGTAGCATATCAACCAACAATCCCTAACTAATTCTCATAAATTTTCATCAACATCTCCCACAACATTTATTACACAAGCTATATACTTTAACCAACCCAACTCATACAACACAATATAATCATCTAGCATGCTCATCTCTTGATTTATGTT